AAATCTTATCGCGGCTGATCGATAGAATTGATTATTTTTAAAGTAAATTAGTTAGGCTTCCGCGGTCTCTCTCTCTCTCTCTCTCTCTCTCTCTCTCTCTCCCTCCCTCGTTTAGGTTCTCATAACGCTGAAAACTTGTCGCAAAAACTGTAATGAAATTGAACTGTTTTATTGAAGTTGCAAGATACAATTCTATTTCAGACATGCGAATGTCAACAGTAAAATTCCCCGATATGTCCTGGACGAGGTTAGTGATATTCATTGTTGGACAGGCTGATTGCAGCGAGTTGTGGAGCGGTAGATACACGGATAGAGCGACACGTTGTAATCATAAGAGTAGGTCGCGAAGACATTAACTCGCGCTGGTGCTTCGTGTTGGCGGACCGCGTCGACCCACTTCCCTTCCTTTCATGCTTTCTTCCTTAAGGCAAAGCCGAAGGCACTAACGAAGGCTCGGATGAATTTCATAACCTACGAGAAGTCCGCGATGACTCTATTACGCTTCGCAGCTCTTCTTTTTTTTTCCTTTTTCACTTTCTTTTAGTCCTCGCCGCTAGGTCGCTAATTTTCACAACGCGCCTTGCTGCTACCTTATTTTTATTTTTTTCTTCTTTCTTATATCTGCATGCAGTATATGCACGCATACATTTCCTATACAGTTGCTAGAAAGCATACAGAATCCTTGTTACATCCTTTTACGTGCTTACTTTTTTTTATATAGATGCTTTGGCGCGATCGAAAGTACGTAATTAATTCCACGAACGTTCGTTGCAATTACGAGGCTAATTTAATCGTGAATATGGCGATACCGTTTATTTGAAGAAAACGTAGCAAGCGGAAAACTAAAGTGTAGTCAAATCTGTTAATTATTACCTGTAATTCTCTCAAAAATTACGATGAAAGAAATTTGTTTTATATAAATATTATTTTAATAAAATTATATTCAAAGAGCAGCATAAAATTTATCAAAGTAAAATTAGAAAAACTGATGAGAAGAAAATTCCAGTAACGGATAGTTAAATATTTAAATTTAAAAAAACGATGAGAGAGAGAGAGAGAGAGAGAGAGTGCTTACTAACGATAGGTAATAATTAAATGCTAAAGTGAGTCAATCAGCAAAGTATCGATTTGTTAATCTCGAGCGTCGAATAAACTATTCCTGCTATGGCTCGTTTCCTAGTCTCGGTTAGGTAAATGACGGTAAACCGTAAATACTCGCAGCATCGTCTAAGTTGGACCAAGGAGAGCGGATGAGGGGAATCAGCAGCCTCTTGAGCCAGTATCCGTTAACTCGAGTCAATTACTACAACAGAGATCCATGGTTCGTCGTGCACAGGAGTAAAGTGGTCTCTCGGCGTGCTTCAACTTTCAATTAACTACTATGGCACGATGACAAACAGACTGGCGATGACAGCTGAGACCTTAAATTTTCTCTTTTATAATCGTATTACCGCTTTTGCAGCTCAGCGACATTATTGCGTTATATTATGTTACAAACATCGTACATGGCCATAAATCACTTCTTCTTCGTCCAATGTGATTTGGAATCGTTGATATAATAAATATTAGTTATAGTTTATCAATGTAATTAGAATTACATTTTTATGTCAGATAGTCAGATTTCTTGGTAAAGTTTTATCGGTTTTAATTGTTTTTGTCTCCAGGATAGATGCAATTGCATCTTTGCGGCATTAGTCAATCATATCGGTGCCTGCTGTGCGTCGAATAAACTAGTAGTTATATTGTGAACCATCTAATTCCATGCGTCTCGAATAATTGCTCCCTTGTTCCGATTGGATGTGACTCGATCATTTATTAAGCGGACGCTAATAATTCATTGCAGGTAATTCGGAGCGTTCGCGAACTCGCACGAATTGATGTTTGCATCCTTAATGCATTTCCACGTCGCTCCGGTGCACACCGGCTTAGACGCGATTTGCGCTTTGCGGAAACTCCGTGTAGGTAGTTTACGAAACAGGGGCGCTTCGCATGGCTCCCCCGTGAAGGCTGCTGTTGCTCGATGTAGGTCGCGCGTTAATGACCAGTGCGTAGCGACGAATTCAATTGAATCGTCGGTTTCGCAAGAAACGAGGATGTCACGCGTGCGAAGTTTCGCACAATGCGTATGACACAATCTTACGTTTTATTCGCGAGTCTATAATTTTAAAAAATCCACTTCCTGGAAGAGAGCGGTCTACCTCTGAAATTAAATAAAAACAATGACTTCTGACAATTCAAATAACAAAACGGAAAAGGGCAGATAATTTCCATCTGAAATTACCTGGAGAATATATGTTTACCTGCTCTCCCCTTCTTCCTTTTTCCCTGAAGTTTTAATTAGAATTAAATTCTTTAGTTTTTCATGCGTTTATAATTCAGGAACTCTTTCAATGCCTCGACATGTTTATCAGAGAAGAATGTACTGCAGTTTACGGAAAGAATTCATAACTGAAACAGAACACGGGGAACATCTCGTATATCAGTGGCGGATTAGGAACGGCGGCCTTAATAAATCGGGGCAATCTCGTCAAAGTGACACGGCACAACGTTATTGTCCGAACTGGCACTCGTAATTTAGGACGGATCAAAGGTGGGTCGGACGGTTAAGGTTCGCGGAGGACGATCGGTCAGCAGGTCCCCAGGTGTCAGGTGGTACCCGGCCGCTCCAGACGCGCCGAATCACCAGCACCCGGCCAGTCGCCACCATTTCCACATAGGAAGCGACTAATGTCCTCGCTCATTTCCCACGATATATAGGCGAGTGCCGCATCGATTCTCGAAGCACCATCCGCCTGCCCAACGCGATATTAATGTTTAACTAGCGCGATCGTGTGTCTGATACATTACCGTTGCTCCCGGGGTTGAAATTGTTGCGCGCTGCGCTACACGCCCTTCCCATGGTGGTACACGTTACGCCCGTACGAAACATACGAATTGCAGAATTTGTCGAAATTGTTGCGCTGCTGTTATTGCAATACTATCGTGCGTCGAATTGTCTTCTATTGTTGGCTCGGTGCGTAATTGGAATACTATGTTGTCCAACGTTTTCAGATATTTGCGAAAATTTTCAAGTTTACATGACACAATTTTTATATTGTAATTTTAATGAAGATTATATAATAAAAAAAAATTTATTTTTTCGTATGTACACGGAAAGGACAGTTTTACTGAAGTATCTAAAAATTTGGCTACACTATGTTAAATTCATAATGTCAAATATTTTTTTACTCAATTTGAGCTATTTTTAATCATTTATGTAAGTCCCCACTACTCTTACCCGATATGTCATTAACTTGACTAACAATCAAGTTAAATAATTTAAATTAAATAATTTAACTCAAGAAAATGTATTAAATTTGATTCAAATTTCGTTTATTATCTACCAAGTTACCTAACGTATATTAATTGGACGATGTTTACTTTAAAACTAACCGCAGAAATTGATTGATTACATTTTAACGCAGACGGAAGTTAAAAATAACAAAATGTTCTTTAATTTAAAGGATTGAGTTATCATTGCTTCTTTGGTATCTAATAATAATGTAGATATAGATCTGAGAATAATTTTGTTGGACTATCGAAACAATTGCGTAGGAATCTCAATCATGATGAGCAAAAAGTTTTAATATTCTATCAACAGTTTGGGTGAACAACCTTCTACATAATTATTTTGATATTCCAACAAAATTATTTTCAGATTCTGTATCTAGCTAAATTTTTAGATATTCTAGCAAAATCATTCCGATCGTATAATCGTATATCTAGAAATGTATGTTATATATTGATTAGATTCTCATATGCCTGATGTTATATCGATTACTTCTCGATTACTTACTATCACGAATCTTGAACGTATTGCAACAAACATTATTTCCTACAGCCGTGGGCAGTCTGTCAAATTACGGGTTAGGTACTTGGAGACAGGCTTCTAATTCCGTCTCTAATAACCAGGGCTAGTTATAAGCGCCCGGAAGCGCTTTGTACTGTCAACCTTGCGAATCGACCAAATGGCGAATGCGTTACTGGGACAACAGGCGTCTACCGTGAACACAAATATTTGCGATAATACGAATTATATTGTATGTATATATTAAAGAGAAAATAGAGATTTATGATTTTATATCCATATTAAACGTTTCCGGCATTTAAAATATTGCGAAATTTTAAGAAAGATTTTGTTTCTTTAAATTCAATTGTATATTAAAAGAGATGAAAAGGAAAATTTACAGAAATCGGGGTGTATGAACTTCATATACTATATACTGTATTGCAATTCCTACGGTACTCGGTTTCCGACGAGCTTTTTCCACATTACTCGTGGAGCAACAGATGTTTCCGAACAAACTAGAGGAAGAGTGATGACAAGGACAAGAGGGAGGAAGAGAAAGAGAGAGTTTTTGGCGTTGTTAAACTGGAGCGCCGCGCCGTGCGAACTTTCGAGTTGTTGAGAGCGAATATTATTCTTATTTTATTCGCTGAAGGCGGCGAAAGCGGAAAATTCTATCCGTACTTCGCGGTTGTTCGAAAACGAGCTTTCTCAGTTCGACAGACAATGACCGAAATTCAGGAAGCTCGGGAAGCTCTCAGTTTCATGAGAACGCTCGGCTTTTCTCTAAAATTTCGTTGATTACATAATTCCGCATATTTGCGAAGTGGAGAGTAGATGGAACAATATAGTGGTGTATGTAAAACATATCATTTTTACTGCTTCATGACCCTTTAAATTGAATATATTTCACTCTGCTATAAGTGGAAAGTAATCTAGTTACAGAAACGAAACTTTAATTTACGGTTTTTCAAACTGGAATACTTTCACGTGATATTTCAGTAACAAATTAGCGATACTGGTTGTCAGATTCTACAATTAATCATTATTATTGTTGACGTTTAGAAAAATGGGAAAATGCGCTAAATCGTTGATCCGAAAAAAAAAACAAAATGAAAACGTTTGGAGCAGTAATTAAAAAGTTATTAAGAAGTTATATTTGTTGTGGTTTCAGGTTCGCTGGGCACGTCGGTATTCGACACGGACGTGTACCTCGTCGGGGCGAGCGGAGGCGTTTACGCCCTTCTAGCGGCGCATCTAGCCAACGTCCTTCTCAACTACAACAATATGGAGTTTGGGATAGTTCGGCTCATCGGCATCTTCGTCATCGGTAAGTGGACCCTACTTCCTCGATCGTCGGCCCGCAACCACCACAACCAATCCTATCTACCTTCGACCTGCCAGCTCAATATCTCCGATCGAACTGCTTTCGAGAGCGATCACGATTGACCAATGGCGCAGACGGTAGTAGATATTAATCATGCCTGTTCCTTGCTAAAGGCTAAACATTACTGAGAAATTATCAGAAGTTAAATAAATTATTACAATATACGGTAAGATGATATATAATTTCGAACGAAATAAAATTTAAATCCAATTTTTGAAATTTAAGTTTGAATTTTTCCTATCCTTCAGCATTCTCCATACAATGAGAAGGAACCAAAATTGAATCTCAAAAATTGGATTTAAATTTTATTTTGTCCAGAATTGTATAATACCATGTTCAAAATTGTACCGCCTTATTCTACAAATTATTACTTGACAAGTACTGTTACGAATATTATTACAAATTCACGATGTAACAAAGAATTAATCCTCACTATGGAAAATGATTTTTATAAAATTATAACATATTCGTGATGTAAATAAAAGAGGATTAATCTTTTATAAAAAATTTAAGAGAAATAATTAAAAGCTGAGAGGAACAGTTTCTGAACGATACCTCATCTTTCCATTAGTCTCTTTACAAAGTAGTGAAGACCTTCAGAGTCGCGAATTTGCAGACACGTCCTTAAGGATTAAGATGAAGTATCTCGGACCTCCGAGCACAATACAATCTCAGAACTCGGCGCCTATGGCGGCGTAGTGTAATAATAGCGCGATATTGGCAAAGACGTAGACTCTAGTATCGAGGACCTATATAGTACGTAATCTGACCGCCACTGTACGTGCGCATTATCTGGTTCTAGTGGCCCTAGAGTCACCTCAAATTCACCTCGACGGAGCCTCTCGAGTCTTCAATAACCTTGTTTAAGGGGTTGATTACCGTCAGCGCGGATTCGGATATCCGCCGTCGGTTTCTCCCCCTCTGTCTCTCATTTTCCCTTACTCGCACCATTCCCAATATATCCGCATAGTTTCTGTCCGCGGGTGGTAACAGCTCGGGCCCGTTCCGATCTACGCGCTTCGACTTGGATTACATCGTAATCCCAGCGCGAGAGCTTGACGGGCGAAGTAGAGCTTGATCGATAAACGCGCTCTCTCACGATGGAAGCGGGTCATCCGTTCAGCCGCGAATGCAAATGACGCTCTCGCAGGAGTCTGCAACGTGGCGAGGTGTCTCCTGTCTCTTATAACATCTTAAGATGCGAAGAAAGTGCACCACTATCAACTGCAATCAGAACTCTGTGAAGAAATGAGAGAGAGATTTGAATTTTCATATCTTAGAACATTTCCGAGAGTGTTGACAATTCTGTTTAATTAAAGTAACAGATTTGGAAATGGGATTAATTATATATATATATATAT